TAAACCATAATATATAGACGAACCGAATAGATTTAAAACAGTAAAACTTGAATTTTAAGATGAAATTCATTTATCCATATGGTTAAATAGCATTTTGACATTATAGGTGATGTCGGTTCATGATGAAAAACCTAACTCTAATTACTAACCCTAACTTCTAAATTTAAATCCTAATTCTAATTCCTCAAAATAATTTATAACCCTCCTTAGACCCCAGTAATTAGGTGCAATTTTTCAAAGTCTCGTTAGCATCGCTTAAAGATTGTCCATAAATTATATTCTCATTGTAGAAAGCTTGAAATAATATTAAAACTGTAGAACTAATGGCAAATCCAACTGAGAATGAACTATCTTATCGCGTAACTTGCGGAAAAACAGTGGTAGATTATTCATGATCACCTTTAGGAAAATATCAAATTCATGTTTTACCCATTGTATTCTACATTTCAGGCATCGAACAGTACCATTTCACTTTTTTGAAAATCTAATAATCAACTGACAATACTCATCTATGCTTGACCGATAAACTGGTTCATACATATGACGTATATAATAGCTTACATTTTATGTCATAGTCCTAGTTTTCAATAATTCCGTAGTTGATATCAATTATCGAATAAGACTTATCTTTAAACTGTAACATAACTGATTCACTAAGGCTGAAGAGAAAACTAAAATCAATTACACACAAACGGAGCATGTTACTGAAAACTTGAGCAACTTAAATCAGAAGAAACGATCAAGCATTAAAACAAAGGAAATAAATATCCATCAAGCTAACCAAGAAATTTTGAAAGCAGTTTACTTTAAATTTACTGACAAATATTACACTTCACTTCGACGAAATCTAGCATTTCTCAAGACGAATTCTATATTAGTTATAATAGTATACAGATATAGTCGGCGGCCACTCTATCTTATTCAAATATAATCTTCAAGGTGAGCATGTATAATTTATGCGTACAATCTATTCAATTATTTAGATGACTGAAATCCATTTACATAAAACTAAGTGACTAACATTCAGACGACAGGTAAACGTCTTAATCATAGAAAAACCCATGAAATATATACACAAAGTGATCATCATCACCTCTCTAATTAGATTATAAAGGTATTGTGAACCAAATAAATCAATTAATTAGACAATAATATTCCAAATATAACTATTACATACATGTATACACAGATACATATAACTGGTCAAAGTAACGTGTTTGTTCGCTTATTCACTTTATAAGGTGTATTTGCTGATATTTATTGTATAAATCTTATCAAGAATGAAGGCATGATACACAGCGTTATATTTGTTTAATCTATTATAACAAAATTTATTTATTCTTTTAAAAACAATATCAGTATTATAAAAAGTGTTGTGTATTAGTCAGTGAGTCACACAAAAAGTAAAACCTGACACATGTAAATCAGTTTAAATCGTCATAACACATTAGCTCAATGAAATAAACTAATTTTAACACAAATTCCAGAGTAGTAGAAATAGTAAGAGTATCAATGTTAGTAAGAAGAAAATCACGTATTAAAAAAGTATGATGAGATTTTGGGCCTCAGACTTCAAGGGAAGACAATAAGGGAATACACATGCCTGCGTTATTTATTGCTAACACTTTCGAAGCATGTCACCTGCAAAGCCATGACGAATCCTGTATATACATATATTATTAATAAACTAATATGTACTTCTTTTAAAAACATTATTAATAGTAGGGAATTTTAATCTTCTAACTACAATTACTACATTTATCTCTTGTCCAATATTTCAATAAATTCATTATAAAATGAAATGAATGGTACATATTATTTTAAAATAATATAAATTTAATATTTTCCTAATTTAGTATCATCAAGTGACATAATTCAACATGTTACATAGAAACACAAAGAGAAAACAATTAAAACAGGAAGTACACTTAAATTATGGAGCAACAATCATAGTAACTAGTTTTATATTTATTTGAATGAAAATTCTTTTTAAATTTATTAAACAATGTTTTTTGAAACAAAAAATATAACCATAGAAAAAAGGTATTCATTATTACAATTTAAGACCTATAGTGATTAATTTTTACCAAGTAAAGATAAATTTAGTAGTGATGATACTTGTGTTTAAGTTCTTTATATATTTAGATAATTGACTGAATGAAACTTCTTCCTTAAAATAGAATATCATAAGTGAGTAACTATGTATTTAACTATTTTAATCAGTATTTATTCACAGATATCTAAATAAAAGTAGAGTAGTTGGAATTTGTGAGCTATTGGTTTTCAAGTTTGATATGCTCTAATTTACTAAACTACTGTGTTCCATAACATTGGAAGTATGTATTCTCAAAGAGGAATTCAATGTTATATAATGTACGAATTTAGATATACTCAATTTTGCTGGTTCAATATTAGTAACAAGTAAGTCACTCATGAAAATACTCGAATCCATGACTACTACTGTTGTGATGGGAAATTATGATGAAGATAGTTTATACGACGTTCAGAAAAGTGTATTAATTATCTATTTCTAGAGTGAAACAATTATTATTTAAAAGGGATTGGCTTATTTTTATAAAGCACTTAAAACTGTACACAAACAGATTCAGTTGAAAATTCAAAGATTTAAAGAAAATATTTGGATTGCTGTTTGATGCAACCTAATGAACTTCCACTTGTGAGCTGGCAATCAAATATTGTAATACCAATAAAATTAATTAAATTATTACTGCATCATAATGAGTACGTACATGTATGGCCCGTAGTTACCGTACAAAATATACTGACTAATTGACTAAAACAATGCTTGAAAGTTAAGTGTTAAATCCACTAATGTACAAGAGCTCTGGGAGAAGTAAAGTATTTCCCTAAACACATACAACACATCAAGCTATGGTATAAGCAATATTTAAAATACAATGTCATACTCACTACACAATGCATGAGAATTTTAGTGCTGATGAAAATTGTTTAAAACTATGGATTTATTACTGTCAGGTCATATAATCTAGAATAGACCATAGTGTGACCAACCTCTAACTGTAAAGCTTAAAAGTAGATGAAAAGATAAACAGAAATCCACTTTATCGCTTGTGTTCTACGAGAACAAATAATCAATCATTCAGGAGATGAACAACTTAAAGATCTTGAATGGATACATACCATCTCATTTAGCGGTTTAAAATGAGTATTCAATACTAGTGATGTGTAATAAATATTACCATTAAGCGATAAATTTATATACATGATATATGATTTAGGTCTTTTCAAATGTTTTCCATTTATGATTTGTTTCTTTATTTTCCATACACTATGATTAACAGATTGATTTGGCATTTATAAATAGTAATAATAATAACAATAATAATAAGTAATGAAAACAACAATCAAAAAATTAACAACTGAAACCGATAGATTCACTTTAGGCATGTAGGATTTTTCAGACACACAAAATACAACAATTAGAATGAATAGAAATAAGTATTCATTACTCTAATATTTACAATTTGGAACTGATTAATAGACTTATTTATTGCATATTTCATTTTGATTGCCATTAGTTAGACTCACATACAGTGTAAGCTTGAAAATGTCAAATAGGTATACATGAAAGAGAAGAAAAACACAACAAATTCTACGATTCTAACCCTAAAGATAATAAAATTTCATTCAAATGTAATTTCTCATTACTGAGATATAGAATGATAGTATAAATGGACAACAGTTTCATATATTGATCATAACTGACAACAATCAGTTTAGTAAATATTTGTAATAGTATGAATAGTATTAGTAATAGATAGATAAGTGTGAACACTTACCAAAAAATTAATATAATGCACAAATTTTATTCGGGACTAGATTTATAGAAAGGTCAACAAAAATTTAATTAATCTTAGTTGGGATTATCCTAAAACTTGAATGACATACATAATATCACCATAGATTAGTGGCAAATAACGAGTACCATTTGTTTTAGATGAAAGAAAATCATAAGAATGTAATGTGTGAGGCATACAAATGTTACCATTAAAGGATAAATTGGGAATTTGCAATTTTCCTTCAAGAAGAAATCACATTTAACAAATTCACAGATAGTAGTAAAAATTTATAAATAGTATGGGAGGCATTCAACTTTATAGTTTACAGCACAGACAGACCATAGTTAGACAAAAATGGAAAACTAAGAAACACTAGATAGATGTTTCATTCAAGTACGGAACTCATGTGCTGATCAGTAATTTATTTTGAGAGGTTTCCAGAGATCTAGAGAGAGGCTGTGACTAGTAGAAATCAACTACGTCGGGTGTGAGCCGGTTACCCAAAAGTACTATTAGAAGATGGTTGCGCAATATTGAGAACTGACCGAAATTAAGCATGTAAGTGGATGTATACTACTGAGAGGTCCTATATCTATTTAATGCTTCTCAGTTGTCAATGGTTGTTTAATTAAGAACAGTCTTTAATGTAAACTAGAAAAATTTGTAATTCACACCGATGTATTAGATGATTTTGTTTTTATGTCGTTTTCGGTTAAAAGTGAAAAAGAAGACCGATATCCATGATGGCGATTAATCACTGAAAAAAAGTACACCCAAAATGGTTTTTCAATAAAGACATTAAATGATCGAGATATAAACACTTAAAGTACACAATTGTCATTTACAACTTAAGGTGAAACACATTAGGATTATTAAAAAAAACATAGATTTTAAGAAAAAACAATACCCTAGAATAAATGTAAACCATACTCATGGTGATACCAACACAATTAACAAAAAGAATGAAAAAGATTTACCAGTAATGTGCAAATCACGTTTTGTGTACATGCTTTCTTAGATTACCGGTAATGAACAATACAATTACACAACACTGTATACAATTAAGCAATAAAATAATTCCGAGTGACTTACAACAATCAAAGGATATGTTTTATACACACCAACTTTCGTAAAAATAGAAAAAGGTCCATCAATGATTCAAAACGTGTATACACTTACTTGTTGTTGTACAAATTGGTCTGTAACTACCTTGCTCAGACTATCATTATTATCTTCTAAGGATATAAGAGAGCCATTCAAAGCTCTTGAACGTTTAGCAGAATTTGAATTTTCTGAATTGTTTATTTCAAATAATGCGTGATGATGACAAGTAGAGTTCTGATTATTACTAATCGGATTATCAACTTGAGAAGAACCATTTCGACAAAGATCACATTGATTCTTATTATATACATCGAGTATATTCACTGAATGTGAATTGGTATACATGGTATTATTATTATTATTATTTGAAGTATCATTTTGTGAACAATGATTTGATAACAATGATACATTACAATCACAAGAAATATCTTGATTATCAGTAGATGTTTGTACAGAATTATCACCATTCTTATTGTTCATTAATTGACTTACAGAATGTGAATCAATTAGAACTGTATTAAAATTATTCTGAATAGATATCAAGAAACAAGAAAAAAATGATTAAGAAATTAGCCAGTAAAAATTTAAACACAGTAAACAGTCAAAGTAAGGCATAACTTATACAGGTGATATTGGAATCCTAAACTACTAATTACCAAGACGGGGGATGTTTGCCAGTGTAAGCATTGTGATTGGAAGAGAGCTATAAATGATCAAACCAACTCATGGCATCAATTCATGTGTTGCACCATCTTTTGGACCCCAGCCAAGGAGTCGTGAAGGACCAACACAAGCCAGTCCTTTGCAGCTTTCTTTCATGCCACGACACCATGTCATGCACTGACCACCTCTCCGCTTCTTCCAACCAGTCCCAGAGTCGGCAAATAATGCACGACGTGGAATTCTCTGGGACGACATTCGGAGAACATGTCCAAGCCACCGAAGTCGGTGTTTCAAGATGGTGACACCAATTGAGTTATCATCTCCGTGCCCGAACACACGATGCCGAACCTCTGCATTACTGACATGGTGTTGCCACTGGATGTCAGCAACCCTTCGGAGACAGCGACGATCGAACACAGAGAGTCGCCTAACGTCCTCAACTCGGAGAGGCCAGGTTTCTCAAGCATAGAGCAAAACCGCTCTCACCAACGCGTTGTAGATCCGACCTTTTACAGCCAGACTAACATCATGAAGGCGCCAAAAATGGCTCAGATTGGCATAAACCGCTCTGGCTTTCACTTATACGTACATTGATCTCATCACTCACGACACCACGCCACACCATCCACATTCATTCCTAACTTGTCAATTTTACAAGACATTTTTTATTGGAACACATACAACACTTTGATGTTATTATTTACACCATTTACATCATATTTATTCATTATTTATATATCCTCATAGAATTAATGCTTATATGATTGTACAGTATAATAAATTTGTACAGAAGAGGTCCTTTTGCTGAACTTCGTGTTTCCAACATACGAATTGTCAAAAATACAAAAGTATACAATAAATAAGTCTTATTTCTTTATAAGAACATACTTTACACGATTATTCAGGGTGTAATGTGTATCGATGATAAATAATAATGAGGAAAATTCACGCCTAAAGACACAATAGCCGAAATGTAAGAAACATGGTTTTTTTGGTTTAAAAAAAGTCCCCATTAATTTGTCGTACTGTATAAAAACGCCTAATTTATATTTTTATGTGTAAAATGGTGGAATAATTTATGGATGACAAGAAGAAAATATAAGAAAACGCCCATATATTATGACTTGAGAGGATTTTAATATTATAATTATAATTATAATATCATATGATATATTAGTTTACTTAAGAATTCAGCAAAAATTAATTCAAGTTAATAATTAACATAGATATTACAAATTACAATATCAAGTATAACTTATGGTAGAAAAAGGATTGACTTTACAATTCATCAAGATGACTTTCTGAATGATAATTTGCAATCAGTTGAAAATCATTGTAAAATAAATGATTGTTAGTATAAGTAATTTGACGATTCTTGTACTATGATTTTACTCTCATGTGATGTGTGAAATAGAATTTTTTTTAAAAAAAGAGATACAATACTACATAGAAGAGATTCAATAACAAGATGCAGTATACATTCAGTTTTCTAATAAATAGTTGTACTAGCATTACTTCCTGATGAACATGTTGTCTATAGTACAAATTATATTACATTGTAAACATGTATTGCATTAATTGTTAACAGAATGAACAGTTGTTGGTTGGTAACTACTTCATTTTACAGTCAGTTATGAAATACTTAAAATACAATTTTCAGATCAAATTATACTACTTTTTATCATGACAAATTATTTCTTTATTTTAATGTATTTATATCGGTGAAATGATAAATTTTCTACTAACGAACACACTCATGATATTGAATAATTTCATTGAGTACATCTAATTAAACTAATTAAGAAAGACGTTAATTATAAGTTAATTTTTTGTTTAGAATCGAAAGTAAATCGCCGCAATAGAAAGATTATTAAACCTGACTTTAAAAGACTCTAATTTAGTGCTTATATTGTATGCAAATCAATTCTTAAAAGAAAAGAAAAGAAAAGAAAAGAAAATCCTCAAATATGTGATGTCATACATTTGGATCTCTCGATAAATTTTAAATAAAGTGAGAAAAACAAGATTTTGCAAAATAATATGAATTCATTATACTTCAAGACTTCTTCTCTTCAGCTGGAAAGGACCTAAATTTTACATCAGTAATAATATTAGCTCGGCCTGTAGCTCTTCTAGAGTTACTGCCGGTCCCAAGTCTGGGTTGAGGAAAAGGGTTTGGTATGAGATCGGCAACCCCATCCTGTAGAGAAAAAAACTTTCTAAAAAACGCCAACCAGATTAAACAAATTAAATGATTTAAACTCTGTTCTCCATGTTCAAGAGAGAATTATGTTTCAGGATGAAAGCCGAGATTTTTCGGAAATCACAAGGCTGTTGCCACTTCTAACTACCAGAGCAACAATTTTTATAGGTACATGAAACGTTCGGACAATGTGGGAGACCGGAAGGACCAGTCAAATAACTACGGAAATTAAGAGATACAACTTGGCAGTACTTGGAACCAGCAAAACCCATTGGACCCAGGCTGGACAGCAAAGGCTAGATACGGGAGAGATGCTGCTGTACTCCGATCACCAAGGGGAAAATGCTCCACACACTCAAAGAGTTGCTCCGATGCTGTCCAAAGAAGCACGAAATGAACTTATAGAATGAGAATCTCATGAAACCAGGATCAGCAAAGCATCCTTCAAAACAAAGGAGAGAATCACGATGAATGTTATCCAAAGTTATGCACCCACCAATGATAGCAACGACGACAATCCAAACCACTTCTGTGAGAAGCTTCAATCAATCATCGCGGAGTGCCAAAGAAAGGACATCACCATCCTGATGGGAGATCTAAACGCCAAAGTCGGAATGGACAACACCGAATATGAGGATATCATGGGATGACATGGACTGACTAGGATATTGTAACGAGAATGGGGAGATATTTGCAATTCTATGTTCATTTAACAGAATGATTATTGGTGGCACAATATTCCCCCATAAACGCATATACAAAGCTACACGGGTTTCAGTGGATAACACTACAGAGAATCAGATCGATCACTAAAAAATTCAAAAGGTCAATGGATGACGAAAGAACAAGGAGAGGAGCTGACATAGCTTCAGATCACCACCAACCGGTGTTTGCCAAAATGAAACCGAAGCTAAAGAAACATTGGACAGCTGGGTAAACAGCAGTACAAAGGTTCAATACAGGCTTCCTACGAGATACTAACAAACTCAACGAATTCAAAATAACTCTCAACAACAGATTCCAAGCCTTACGGGATCTACTGAAGGAAGAAGAAACTACTATGCAGGACAACTGGAAAGGAGTCAAAGAAGCATTAACTTCAACGTGTCAGGAGGTGCTGGGCCGCGAGAAGCATCATCATAAGGAGTAGATCTCTATAGAAACCCTGGACAAGATTCAAGAAAGGCAGAACAAAAAGACAGAAATTAACAACAGCCAAACACGAGTAGAGAAAGACAAAGCACAAGCTGAATACACAAAGTTACAAGTGAATTAGTTCTAACTATCTATATATTAACTAGAGGGACACTCATCACAGCTCAATCTCAGTTGAAATTTACAAAACGAATGCACCGTTACTACCTCTAGTACGCTGGAATTTGCCGTAAAACTTTTATTTCGCTGTGTTAATGAAACGTAGCAACTTGAACGGAAAAAATGTTCCATGACTAGCTTTGATTTCGAAAAATATTTGCATTCACTGGGGTACAACCAGGGGATGGTGGGAAGAAAGTGAGGGGCGGCCAAACCAAAATGTGGCATCAGTGCTTGAAGTCACTAACTTCTGGTCTGAGCCATGTTGGTAGATGCAGACTACTTGGTAGGGGGCCGCGCGACCATCGTAACCAATGGTTGGAGACTATAGGTAACATGGCTCAGAATCGATCACAATGGCGTCGGTGTATACACTTTTTATCTTCGCTTAAACCATGAGATTAAAATTACTTTATACCTTTATTTCTACGAACTAATTCTTTCTTCCTGTATTATATTTTCATATGTAATCTTTCTTTTATATATTATCACCATTGAATTTAATACTTCTGTGAATTCGGTGTTCATCTTGTTGTGCTAATGAGGTGTGTCAACTTGGACTGATGCATATACATGCCTCGTCCTAGGTTGTAACTGACTGACTGACAACCAAATGATGTAATGAAGTAAGAAATAAAAATGAATAACTATACGTTGATCTGTAGTATCACAGGAAATGTCAATCACGAATGAGTCAGCTTAGGTTATCATAGTATATTAGAATATAAAAAAATGAAATTGACAATATATTATTCATTCTTTGTGATTAGTCGATCTACATATGTGCCAGTTTCTACGCTGCTTATAACTGACTGATTAAATCAACCTTAATCAAATGCCCTGGTAAGCCCGAGAGTGGGGAGAGCCACATGTATACAGCCACTGCCAGGGAAGTCCTGCTCACTGCCTTCTCGTGACGGCGGTGTTATTTGCGAAATTGAGAGGACGAAAAGCGAATGTTCGACGGTTTAACCGAGTTGGCATACATGGAAGGGTTAACTAGGGGATTTGGAAAACCCTGATTCCAAACCAATGGTGCACAGGATCCTGAGGGGAAAAAAAGCGTACAAACTTATTGTTGGTCACCGGCTAACATGGGACTGCATCTCCTAAAGACGCTCCACTGCCCTGTAGATTAGACCTCTAGGTCAAGGGCTCGGGGAGTGCCCTCTAAGAAAACCACCTCCCATGGCTCGGGTACCCGAGTAGTATATCAGCCTTCACACGAATCAAATGATGAAGTGTGATTCATATGATGATTAGTGAATTGAAAATGCGGGGCGACACTAAGCTTACTGCTTGGAGAAAGAGAAAAAATCCATCTGCCTAAATGATACTTATTTTAAGCTATAACCTAAGTCCTGGAATAAGCTGAATGTACGTAATGCTTTGAATGCATTTATGTTTAAATAATAGCAACAAACAAATAGAAAAAGTGTGAAAGATTGCTAACGCGGTTTTTGTATTTTTTTCAAGATTCTGGAAAACCCTAATGGCACGAAATCTGCCTTGTGGATTAGACCTTCAGGTCAAAGGCTCCGGGTGTGGCCCCCTAGGAAAACCACCTGCTTCGGTTAGGGCACCCGGGCAGTATCATAGCCCTTACACAAATCAATGACAACTGTTACTGGTCTCATTGTTATTGTGTGGCGCGTATGTATTTGGTATCCCCTTGTACCAATATTTATGTGTTCAAATAAAGAATAAATCTGAATGATAAATCCGAATCTTATTGAAGTAGGATAAGCTTAACAAGGTAACACTATGTGTCAGAATTTTGAAACTAATAAAAATTATAAGAGTGGGTCAAGTATCCCTTTATTGGATAAGAAAGAGAGAATTCAGCGAAGAAAATTTTCTTTCTGACGAAATCATTTACTTAAGCTGTACATTCGTACATATAGTTATATGGAAAATGTATGTCTGTAGAAGGATAGAAAGGATTGTATCACAAAAATGGATTCGAGAATAAATAACAAGTGTACAGCTTAAGTAAATGATTTCGTCGAAAAGAAAATTTTCTTCGCTGCATTCTCTTTTTCTTATTCAATGACACTATGGGTTATTTGAATTATCCCTTTATTAATATATGTCAAAACAAAATTGACTATAGGACGGGTAAACCTGCAGTTTTTTTTTGTTGTGGGTGGAGATAAACAGCATTACTTGGTTAGCTATTCGGAGCCGGTGAGACCGAGTCATGAGACAGCTGACCATGGACACGTTAAATTTGGGACAACAGCCGGTAGTAACATTAATTGACTATTGGTCTAGAATGCAACTTCCCATACTCCCCCTCCCGGTAGCCCGAATAGAGGATAACTCAGCGGGCAGACAGCTTTTAATTATACAGTTCGAATGCATGAATCAATTAAACACTGATACCGAGAAAAATCATGGTCATGCATCAACAGAATTCAGAAATTAGAATACTGACATAACCATGTCACAAGTGGGAGTCAACTGAGCGATAAGTTCGTAATAAGTTAATCACAATTCACAACAATCATTTGTGTCAGAGAAAGGGTGAGAAGTATAAAAATACAAAAACATAATGGTTAAATTATTTAATAGTGATACAAAATTGTAAACAATAACTTCAGATAGGACAGTTTCGAAAATTCACTTACGTTTAATATTTATTCTGACATGGTAATTCCCACATTCAGTGAGTGAAAAACGTTGATAAACTGAGTTTCGTGAGTAGTTATTCATTAGCTGTATATCATTTCGTTCAATCAGTTTATCGGAATTCAATCATTTATCTATACTTTTAAAGTCTAACGATCAAGAACGTAATCAGAATATTCAATATTTACATAGCACCACGAAGTCCGAGAGTTCCCTGATAAAATTCATCAAACTCAATGTAATGAGTCAGAAAGTCAAACGCAACGTGGAACCTGGGACACTTGTATATCGATTTAAGTTGCCATGCTTCAATCAACACAGAAAGATGAAATCATCAGGAAAATCCCAGAGTAGAAAAGGTAGTAACAATATTAGTTGTAACAGAAAGGATTAGGCATCAAAGAAACTATTTGAGAAAGTATAAAATAGCGAAATAAAAAAATCATGAGGAATTAAGAGGCCTAGGGTTCGGGAGAAGAAAAAATAACGAATGCACTTGTGCCATTGTAAACTATTTTGAGCCAGGTCACCCAAGGTTTCTAACCACTGGATACGATAGTCACATGGATCCCAACCAGGTAGCCTACAGCTATTGACATGACTCCGTTCAATTGTCAGTGACCTCATGGACTGATATCATGTTTCAGTTTAGCCACCTCTAGCTTGTAACCCACTCCTACACCAGCCTTCATCACGCATCGAAGTAGTCAGTGGATACTTAATATATTAACCCCAAAGATAATTACCAGTTTCAATTACGATTTTACAAAATAAAACTACTCCATGCTTTATTCTTCTGTTTATCAAAGCCTAAGAAAACACTAACAACAAATCTAATTTTAGGAATTCAATAGCATCCTCACAAATTGTTTGGCAAGTGATTAAGTGTTTAGAACAATAGATCACAACAGGTCACAAATTCACTACATAAAGTGTTTTAAAAATTTTAACTTACAGAATTTTTATTCGTGTGATTATCATCAGAAATTGTATTGAAGTTTGAAGATTTCTGAGATTTTGCTTTTCGTTTATTTACAGTTATTTCTAAGTTAGAAGTAGATTTACAATTATCCATTTTTTCATTATCAATTCTTTCCAAATTAATCACTGCATGAGTAGTAAAATGATTTGTATTATTATTATTACTACCATGGTGTAAACGATTTATTTCACTTTGATCTTGTGAATGTTTTGCTTCCAACTCATCAATTTCACGTTCCATACGAACTAAGTACGGTAGATCAGTGAGACCGTAACGACTTGCAATACGTGCAACCTCCATTAGGGTAAGCAAAACATTTTTCTCTTCGGTCTTATTCACTAAAGATAAAAATATTATTAGATGAAAAAAACATTAAGAGTTAAGCGAATCCATGGAATAAAATTAGTGGTAGTAGTATTGTTTGAATTTAATGAATCGATCATTATAAAGAGAAGCTTGATTTGATAAGTGCACAATTTTAGGAATATCGTAGCAAGAGTGACCTTGAAATTTCTATATCACTTGTAAACCATCAAGTAAATCAACAACTGAAATCAAAAGTATGTTACTACAATAACAATGAGTGTGTATAACGCTTTATTTATAACCTGTGAGATCGATTTTTTTCAATGTTAAAGTAGATTATTTTCAATTCAAAGAGTAACTATAGAGAAGCACATATTGTATGCTGATCATAAATACTTTTATAAACGAAATCATATATTCTTCTTTTTTAAAATATTTACACGAAGACTCGCCAGAAAGCCGATGAAATAACTTCGTGATGTGATAACATGAAACGAAGTTTTCCCTAAGTTTCTAAACATTTGTACGACATTAAAATGCCTAATTTTCTATACGTCACAATTGATACGATTTAGTTCAGAATTTACTCTAAACAAATGCGAAAGGAATGAGTCTTGAATAAATGGTGTTTCTGATAGATTCTACAACACATTTAAAATTTTCATCTAATTTCTATATCCTATTCTTTGTATGACGTCAGGAAAATACTTTTTAAAGAGAGCAAGAACAAAGGTTGGTGCAGAATAATATGAATTCATTTTATTTCGTTCTCATCAGCTGCTGCTTACAACCTAAAATATTTGAAATTCGACGTTTTTATAGATATTGACATACTTATACACCAGAGGGTGATGAAGGATAAATATAAGTAACATGATGTAGCAAAGATTTCGTTAGAGTTAATGAGGTCATAAAATTTTGTTTCGAATATATAAAGTTTGGGAGGGAAGATTCCAGGACATTGAAGTAGTGATTAGAAATCATGGAATAAAAACACATTAGATTATTATGCAATGAAATAACTGAAAATAGATTAATGGTAATAAAGAGAGATATGAATCGAAATTGGTCAGTTATGAATGATGTAATTTTGAAATTCAGAAAGAGTTGGAATAGTGAATGACGTAATAAATAAATAAAACGGGGGGTTATTTTACCAGGTCAAAGAAAGGTTTATTACTGTTTCTTTTTGTATACAAAGATCTGGTTTTAAACGTTTGATTGCTATCGCTTCGGCAAATTTCAAAAGGTTTGAATTTGATTGTTTGTTGATCACCTTGAAGGACTTCAATATATCGATTTCGTGTCTTGTGTCAAGGAGATGTCTTGAGATAGTGCTGCTGAATGTTTTTAGTCCATTTGATCTCAAAACCTCCGGAATATGTTCTTTGAATCGGACGTAGGCTCTCCTTTCTGTTTTACCAATGTAACTGCTTTGGCAGATACATGTAAATTTGTATACACAGTTGGTGGTAACATGAAAGGGATACATGTCGACATTTGATTGTGTCAAAGAACATGTTGTTTTGGACAGGACAATCAATTTAGCTGCAGGATATGTTTTTGTCAATGCAGTTTTTAGTCTCATATTGATTGATCCTGTGACATCGTCACCTTTGAATTGAATTTGAATAAAAATAGGCTTTTTATTAACTGTAATTTCTTTGGGTTTTTTATCTTCACGTTTCCCATGTTTCTCAATAAATTTCAATGGGTAGCCGTTATTCCTTAAACACTTTTTAACATTCATAACCTCCTCTCCTATTTTATCGGCAGTACATATTCTTTCTGTTCTGTGAAACAATGTTTTGGCCAGTGCCTTTTTGTAACTGATTGGACAAAAGCTATTGAAATAATAAAGGGAACTATTTGTATGAAAATAGTTTTCTCTTATCACCTGTAAACTATCCAAAATGAAACATACCATTTATAAACCTCATCATAATATTCAAGTTACTTCTCATAGAAACAATAAACATCGCTATCTTCATCCTAATTAGTTGTTTTTTTGTTTTAAAGCATGTTTGCCAGAAATCAATTGATGTAAGCAAATAAACATACATTAATGAAGATGTAAGAAGGAAAAACCATTTTGAAAAGGATAAAAAATCAAATTAAATTTCTTTTCTTGTCGAAACTATAAACACAGATATCATTTGAATTGTGTCAAACATTGACTTATGATATGGATACACTATTAAGTTAATGAAAAATTTACAATTTCCTTCTGTTATTTCTTTTAATTGTAAAATAACATGTAATTTTGACATGATTAATCAATCTACTCATTTTGTTATATGTGACAATATTATGTACATTAATTTAAAACTGTTTCATACAGAAATGACAAATTATTAGTCTTTTGAACTTAATTATCAATATAACTAATTATGTTTGTTATTGGGAATTATGATAATTTTCCGTGAAAATTTCTTAGTTTACTAATGTATACAATAATAAAACTTTTACGTATTAATTATTTACTTAATACCACCTTATCAACTGGTTTATTAAAATCATATGATAGTGTTAATATGAAAATAAAACTGAACATTAATGCGTAACATTTGTGAATGTTCCAAAAGGAAAAAAAAGCAATGTAGTTTAGTCAGCATTTCTCATACAAAAAGAAAACACTCTGTCGTTAATTATTGTGAATGTATGTGTTATAAAGGTAAATTACATGTAATTATAATAGAATATAAAGTATAGATAACGAATACTCTATGTAATTAATCCATGTATCACTACTAAATATATCAGGATTAAAGATTTAATTTTGAGGAGGCGTATTACTATTATTATTACATGATAATACAATTAATATGCTTCGATAGGTATTAAACAGTATCATCTTATTAATAAGAATCGGTAGCAAACTAGTTATATTTTATGTTAATCATTGAATACATAACTATTCAACGATGAAGTATAAAAATAATCATATTTAGTAAGATGAAATTACAAAATTGTATTCTAAGTGATGACTCAATCACGATTATAGAATTAGAAAAAAAGAGTAGGTGATATGACACTGAATAAGAAAAAGAGAATTCAGAGGAAATTTTCTTCTTAACGAAATCATTTGCTTAAGCTGTACATTAGTATATATAGTTATATGGAAAATATAGGTCTATAGGAGGATAAAAAAGATTGCATCATAGATTGATTCAAGACTCTTATTATGAAATGAGGTTAGGCACGAATCAATGGGAAAAGGAAGACTTATATATACGAATATACAACTTAAGTAAATGATTTCGTCGAAAAGATATAACATTATATATAAACCTCAAAATATATCTTAAATGGATGTTTCCTAGTATATTCTACACTTGAAATAATCAACTACTTGTTTAAGCTTTTGTTTATTTATTTATTTCGTTCTTCTTTCTTTATAAGTTTAATAGTTAAATCATATTGTGAATTCTTCTCAAATAACGAGTGTAATTAATGGATTAATATTATCATAATCATAATATTAATGACAATATGTAACTGATGTCTTTGTCTTTATCTTATACAATTAATTATATCATTATAGAGTTCATTAATGTATTCATAAAAGGTAATTTTTCTACAAATAAAATTTATATAAAAGTAATTTACTTAAGTTATATTTATCACGTGTTTTTTTTTCTTCTAAAATCAATTTTAGATCTATGGTATTCTCCTTAATCATAAAGAACTTTTGGTTCATCATGAAAACTATATTCTAGTTTAATTTTATTAAATTATAAATATATTATAGAATTATTAACTATTTACTATTATACATCAATTAATTGTAATTAACGTAGAATCTAATACAAACGTATATTGTCTTATAAGTTGTCACATATCATATCAACATACATAGTAAGATAAGATTATCAAGTTGTATAGTTAAGAAATAGAAAATAAGAGTAACATCAGTACGAGTAAAGACATACTTTACATAATAGTATATTGATATCACTAAAAGATTTAGGCTGAACAACATTTGAAAATTTCGAAGTACTAGATGGCCATTTTGTCCTAGTATAAGACTCTTCAGAAGTGAACGTTCATGAAATGGCCATTCAATGCTTCCGAGCTATCATCTAACTTAAATAAGTTCTTGATATCAAGAAAATGGAATCTTCATCGTTATACAGTAGGCAAATTTTTCGGTGTCCTACAAAACATAAGCATCGATATAAAAAAATTTTAAAAGGATATACGTAAAACCCTCTTAATATGAAACTTATTATTCAAGAAGGAATTAATGAAATTGAGCTGCAAATTACATTCAGAGTATAAAAATTAATCAAGCTAACTGACTTTAAATATCGAAGATTGGGTCCAGCATAGTCAATGTTTCAATGAATGAATATCAACTGAATTACTTACTCAATAGGAAACTTTTTTATCTGAATTTAATTAAACCAGTAAAATCCATGTATTAGCTGATTGATGATAACAACAAACTATGACTAGCTAGTAGTTAGTTAGAGCACATTCCCTATTTGTCTGTTAGGTGCTAAAAATAGCAGACAATAGTAGTAGTAGTAGTAGTAGTAGTAGCAGTAGTATACAAATTTTCTCTCATTATTCTAAGATCACTTTAACTGATAAATATGTGTAAAGCAACTAAGCTTTTGAAAAAAAAACAGAAAACTAACAGTAAAGTACAGACTGCTTTTATACACCTACTTTACACTTTAAAGAATAGACTTCACAAACTTATGAATATAGTCACATGATGTACGTTGTTGAATAGTAAAAATATTTATTTCTCATTAAGACTATATTTATCATTTTATCAGGAACTAATAAGCCATCAAAAATAATTTACAAAATTATTCTGAATGAGAAGTAACAAAAGGTAGAGATGGATGGTAGCTAGCAGTGGAACCCAGAATGTGCGTTTCGTCCTGTTTAGTATTCGTCAGTTGGGTGAAGCTGATGTTATTGATGAAGTTGGTGTTCACCCCGGGACTCGAAAGAAGTACCCTCCACTTCAAACGTTATCACATTGTCCATCTAGCTACTGAGTCCAGATAGCCACTAGATTGTGCAATGAGGTGAAGTCTAATTCATTTGTAATGGTTGGTTGAATCTTCTCATCAATGTTCGGGACTGCAAGTGATCAGTCTCTTTTGGCATTTCTGCAGGCTGTGTGGATCGCCTCGATATTGCCTTAAGTCACAAGCATTATAAGCAAAGATCGAAGTTGGTTAACAGACCGATCAATTTCAGTCCTAAACATCAATGGGCGGATTCAAACAACCAATAAAAATGAAAAGTAATAACAGTTTACAACTATCAATATTTAGCATTTCGACGACAGTATAAGGAAAAACTACGCTGCTCAGACAATTAATCCGAATCTCCGTTGTAACAGTAACAGACAATAAAGAACATGTGTCAACTGTTGTATTCAGTGATAGTTTACTGACCTTGTTCCTATAAAACTTCACATTGAACTTCAAGAGTTGAGATAGTGGGAAACATTCTTAGTTTAGGTGGATAATTTGGTGAGGTTTCGTCCGCTGAGTTGGAGTAAACTTCACAGTCGCTTACATAAGACTACACTTTTATCGCACCACCGGTCGAATCCACGGCGACGGGAGTTTCGTCTTAGTATGGGGATCGTGGATATGCACTGATGGGGAGTCCTATACAGGAATGAAAAGGCAATCCACTACTTCCAGATTTTCAATAGCGGTCTAATTTAGACCGGTTGATGATTTCATTAATGAACAATAGTCTGACTGAATAGTTACCTGTATAATGACAATCGTGACCAGAACCCATGACGAACAATAAGCACGGAAAACGGTTGCATTTCCAATGAAAGAAACAAACATTACGCTAGTGAGTTCACTATAATATCGTGTAAACAAGTTTAAAATAATTAAATAATTCACTAACTCGAAATTTATAACGTCATTTATGGTGAATCGATCAATGAGGGTCAATCCTGTATTTGATCAATACTATGAGTAATCATGGTGAGTAATAAAGATACGAAAATTTAGTGATAAATAAACAACTTTTATACCAGTAAAATATTACTATTGGAAATATAGTGAAAGACAAACAAACACATTCAAAATAACCAGTAATGTTTACTACTACAACTGATTATGTATAGACAATATGTGGTCTTATTATTATGAAGTTATTAAATAGAAACGAATTCTGAGTCAAGAGCTACAAGTTGTCAAACTTCGATAATATTACTCAGTTTGACTGAGAGGGTTATTTATTCTCACTTTCAAATTGATTAACTTCATAAATTACTCCATGTTGTTCAGGTAGAAATTCTTTTCTAAGAAAAACTTTACTCAACATTTGAATAAGTGAAATCAACTGATTGGAAAATATTCCTCATCATGAAGAGACTTAACTGGTTTAAATTCAAAACCACACGCGATTGGGGATAAGCACTGGTTGAAAAATCCAACCTTTGATTCAAAACAATTATCCAAAGTTTTATAGTCCTAAATTAGAACAAAAGAGCTTTACGTTGCTACTCAATCATTCAGTAGTTTTCTATGATTCATGTTACTTTCTCACGAACCTATCTCTAAAGTTACTGATGTCTTGTAATTACTATTAACATTTATTTGAGGGCTCCGTTAGATTAACCAAGTAGTTTTAAGTATGACATTTCTCTCATTCTATTAAACTATCGGAAGTAAATATTTTTCCTCAATTTAAGCATCCATGATTGTAGACGAATTAATTAACTTACTTAATCCATTTGTTTCAAATAATATTGTTTCTGGTACACCCAAATCTTTGCACCATTTAATAAACGCACTAACATTATCACGAGCTATCCAACGATCAGCAACTCGAGATTTTATTGAGATATTTTCTTTAGGAAAATCCATATCACAATTTGACATATTTGAATTACGTTTATGAGTAGAAGGTTGTGGTGAAAAGGAACAGAGATCTGACGGACCAAGTGGTAGTTTAGCACAATCAGTTAATGTGGAGGGAAATGATGGTAATGAAACTGGAGTAAGATTTTTCAAGTCACGATTGGACACTGCACCTCTCAGAAATTCATATGAACGACCATTATTATTATTGTTATTATTATGTGTTGATTTTGATTTTAATGCAATTTGATAACCTGATTCCAAAATCGAATAATGTAGTTTATAAGCTAGTCTAGAAAGCCACAGACCTGAGGCTAAACGACAAAGTAGGTAATGTGCTTCTATGGGACATGCGTTAGCCGTTGAAAATAAATAATGTTGTAACCATTCCGTAAGATCTTCACGAACAACACACATAGATTCGTCAAGTATCTGAGAATTCAAAAAAAACCATAAGAGTTCTTTTAAAAGTATTGTATACACATAAAACTAAAAGAAAACAATGAATCTACACAGACATGTACAAACAAGTTAATGAACTGATATTATCATGGTTAATTCTTATTGTCCTACATTACATGTCAGTGATCAATAAAACGGGATTTTAAGGTGAATGTTGTCCAAAAAACAAAGACTGTTGGATCGACTACTGTGTAAAATTAACTTTCAACACTAATTCTTTTTAATTTCCTGAACTCTGAAATTGGGAAGCAACTTAAATTTTTTAAAAAAGAATTATTTCACAAAGCATTGGCAATTGGATAACTGATAAGTGTGTGCTACTAAACAATTCAATATCAGTAACAAAAGTGGTCGTAATATATTTCAGACTGAAAAGGTTACAGTTAACACATAAACCGAATTAAGAACAAATTTACAAGTGACGATGCATTATGGATGTAGTTGATACCCTTCACGGCAGAGCTGAATCATTTACTCGTAGTATTCAACCATGTCTCGGAGAGGAATACACTATAGAAACAGACAGACACGGAGCAGCAGAAAACATTTTAGGCACATGTTACAATGTCTCATATCAGTATGCTCAAAGAAAACTAACACGAGGAAACAAAAGGACAGAATACTGATGATAATCCTAGTAAGTATGAGAAAGTAAGAGAATAAAGACATTATGCACAAATAATTTCAAAGGACACAAAACAGACAATAACAATAAAAATGGATTTCGGCTATTGGGATAGACTTTGAGTCATGTCACTCAAAATGTCCAACCATAAATAAAGATTAAATTCCAGATCATGACTAAGAAGCCTACACAATAATGCAATACAATATTCAGAAACTCAGATTGGGCGGTGGTCTAATATGGTTGCCCATATTTAATTACGTTCACAATAATTTCGTCTAGATTTCTAACTATGAATGTTACTTTCTCGTGATAGACAAATGGGATTTATTCTGTGTAGTGTTTCTTACTATGAGCTGTTACTTTAAATAATGTAGGCCAAAAACTACAATTGATATCTATGATTTTCACTTGTTTATTAGTGACTAAAGGCGAAACTATGTCAACTTACATACATGCATCAGTCACACCCGAAATTGTGACTCATCTTACAATACATAAAAAGTCAAGTTATACTAACTACCAATCACTAGATCAAGAAACTATAATGCCACACCCCATTGATAATTATAAAGGACGAACTTTATCATTTATAAATTTACATATATAATTGTGATGTCATTGTATATTTGACTATATATATATATACTTTCAAAGGTTTTATCTTCGTAACATTACATATATTATTGTATACGATCATTTCCTCTTGTGGACCATGCATTAGTGACAGTGTAAGTTTTGGCTTAATTGAACCCAGGGAAGTTACAACTAAAAGATTTTCTCAAGCATGATTCCCAATGACCTATCTCTTCGCTTTATCCTTCCTATCATAAGACTAGATTGGAAAACATACTAACAGCAGCAACACTGAAACATTGCAGTAGTCGGTGAAGACGCTATACGTTGGTCTAAGTCATGAAAAAGTGTAGGCTATCGGCGATTGGATGACTTAAAGCCTTCTATAATAGCCAGCACACACTGAAAGTACTGTTCTCTATCCTACATTTTCTGGTCTCATTTGTGTATAAGGTCTTTATTCTTTTACTTTCTTATAACTGCTGGCATTGTTATTAGTAATCCGCTTTTTTGCCTTTCGCTTGCTAGTTTCCCCTGACTTTGCAGCTCTGAAGTGTTTCAACTTCATGAACACTGATTACTCATCTTTTGTGCTTCAATAGAATAATCGGTGAGACTATAGTTTATGGACGACTTTTTAGAGACGCTAAAAAGACCTTGGGAATGTCTATCTACATACTACGGCTAAATGATGATTATAAACCAGTGTGAGGAATTAGAATTAGTATTTACGATTGATAGTTAGGGTTAGGAATTAGATTTAAGGTTTTTATCACGAACTGACATCAGCTATAATGCAAAAACTTTGTTTAGTCAAATGAACGAATTAATTTTGCACCAAAATTCAAGACATGTTATCACAAATATGATTGGTTCGTCCGTAAATCATAGTCTCACCGATTCGTCATGTTGCAAAAGACTCATTGTGCACCATATATTGTTCTTGTAAGGTGACAATTCAACCTATCTATATAATCGTTACTGTTTTTGGTTTATTAATTAGACTACAGTGCCGCCTCACTAATCGTGGTTAACTAAATATATTTCAGATGTCATTGTTCAGAAATTGATTGTTACTCTACTTAATTTAATCAACAGAACTCATCAGAATACAAGGTATATTTTCAATTTACTCTGGAAGGATAAAACTCTTTTTACTTCTAGCACAGATTATAATGTTATGTAGACTTCTTCGAGACTGTTTCTAAATGAGAAAGCCACAGGTATTTTAATTACCTAACGTGTTATTGTTAGATTACTATGAGTTCTCTGAACTACTCAAAGAACTGGGGAAAAGACTCTTGGACTAAAAATTCTACTACATTAATCTTAGCAAACGATTCAAAAACTATAGTGAGGAGTTAAACAGGAACTATAAAAAGCGTATTTCTATGCGCTGACTCCAAAATGTAAAGTGTCCCAGAAATATTAAACGGTTTGAGACAGTAACCAAAATAATGTCAACTTTGAATGAACAAATACAGTGATATCTAAACGGAAACAAATGTTTCCACTGCAATATGAAACAACAACAATGAAAAGTAGATATCTAGTAACTAACCTGCACGAAATGAGAACTTTGTGTACGTTTAATCACACATGGACTTGATTCCAAATTAGAGCGTAGATTGGAAACGCTATGAGCTGTCTTAATCATGGATAAATAAATACAGCTAAAATTTGTAACAGAATACATAAATGTATTATTAGGATATACTTAACGATAATGATAGAGTAACGAGAAAACCAGGATATAATGAACTGCGTGGAACAAAATAACAAATTCATGCTATCAGTTGACGGCTAAATGGTACGTACGTTCTACAACAACGGATTACGTGTGAAATAAAAGGATGATAAATACGCACGACATTTCTTCAATTATTGGCTCAAAAATAATTCCGATGACCTCATTTCGTTTTGGAAGCATTATTTAATGCCTTTGTAAATGGTACAGGAAATCTGGTACTTTGAGTACATGGCAAACGCCAATGTGAAAAAGATTACTCACGAATACCTTTTGGTTAATAATCCTTTGGGAGATGAAATAATATCATTTGAATCGCAACTATATACTTTTGTTTTATGAACCAAAGTTAGAAGGTAACCGTATAGAGATAAGGTTGAGTGTCTGTATGGTGCATCTACAAGCTTTGGGTAGCATAAGCTTCTTAAGAAAATCAAAATCATACAATTCAGTCAGTCAGTCAGCTACAACGTAGGACCAGGCACATTTATGCATCGGTCCAAGTTGCCATACCTCATTAACACAGCAAGATGGACACCGGATTCATAAAAGTAGTTAATTCAGAGGTGGTAGTATATAAAAGAAAGATTGCAATAAGGATAAAGTACAGGAAGAAAGAATTAGTTCGTAGAAAGAAGGATATGAAGCGATTTTAATCTCTTAGTTTAAGGGAAGATAGAGAGTGTATACACCGACGCCATTGTGATCGATTCTGAGCCATGTTACCTATAGTCTCCAACCATTGGTTACGACAGTCACGCGGACCCCAACCAAGTAATCCGCATCTACCAACATGGCTCAGACTAGAAGTTAGTGACTTTAAGCACTGATGCCACATTTTGGTTTGGCCGCCCCTAACTTTCTTCCAACCATCCCCTACACCGGTTAGCATTGCACGTCGTGGTAATCGGTGTTCAGGCATACGTAACACGTGGCCCAACCATCTCAGTCGATGAGGTTGTGAATCTCCATCGACTGATTTACCATCCTTCTCTAATACCCTGCGTCTAACCTCACTATTACTTACCCGGTGATCCCAGCAGACGCCAGCAATATTTCTGAGGCAACTGTGGTCAAATACTAATAGCTTACGAGTGTCTTCTACTCTTAATGGCCACATTTCGCGGTTGGACGGATACTTTGCCTTTGCCATAGGTGACGTAAGTTGGCAAAAGCCAAACGAGCTTTCTGAATTCGTGCAGAGCTTTCGTCAAACACCAACCCATTAGGGCTGATCAAACTTCCAAGATAAGTGAAGTCGTCAGCGCGTTCGACTACTTCACTCCCTATTCTTAGTTCAGGTGTTGACGCAGACCAGTCCTGAAGCAACGACTTGCATTTAGAGGGAGAGAAGCGCATTCCAAACATTCTGGCATTGTTGCTCAGTGCTACCAGAAGACTCTGCATTTTGTCAGCGTCTTCACCAAACAAGACTATGTCATCCGCGTATTCTAAGTCGATGAGTGGACCTCCTGGAAGGAGATCAATGCCCGAGAATTCAGTAGACGAGAATGTTATTTCCATCAATAAGTCTATGATGAAGTTAAACAAAAATGGAGAAAGTGGACAGCCTTGACGGACACCACTTGAGGTTGCAAAAGATGACAGTTCGCCATAAGCTCTGACTCGATTGGTAGTGTAAAAAGCCTTCACTTCTGAGGTACGCCTTTCAATGAAAGACACTGCCACTGAATCTCGCGGTCTACCGAGTCAAATGCTGCTTTCAAGTCAAGAAAGACCACCATTGTCGGACGCCGGTAAGTATGCCTATGTTCTAGAACCTGACGAGTGGTGAATATGTGGTCGATGCAACCACGACCAGTTCCGAAGCCAGCTTGATTAGTCAGTCATAAGCAACATATGTGAATTGATCCAGACCATCATACTATTTCAAGATATGAAATCATGAGAAAAAAATAAAGGGATTTACGTTATTAGACCGTAAAATGTGAATTGCACTACTGAAGTACAAAGCAAATTCCACCAGCTTTTAGATCAGATTCATTGCCAATATTACCCCTGACCCAATAATTATGTATGAGCATTAAAAATGCTACCGTAGGTACAAAGGTGAACACTGATTTTTAGGTGTCAAAATAACTGAGTACACAGAATGTACTGATTCTGAGCACAGAAGTTAAACAAAGAATTTACTGTTGCTAAAAGCTTACTAAGTAAGGTATCAAGAGACACCACATAAAATTAGATGACAGTGCAAAGATATGAGGAAGGCCGTACATATATATAATTAAAACAGTAAAAAAATAGAAAAGATCAACAAAAAAGGAAAAATTGTGTTAGACTTATTTAAGTATTTACAGGAAGGAGAATACACTTACCCCGTTAGTAAAGGAACAGTGTATTATTAAACAACGAAACAGTTCATTAATAAGATCGGTCGTGGACCAGTCAGTCATATACAACGTCGAACCTGGCGCATTGCTTACATAGGTTTAAATTGCGATATCTCGTAAGCACAACGAGATGAACTTGGGCTAACACAGAAGAAATGTCTCGTGGACACTAACAAACAGATAACGTGATTTTCTAGGTAGAATAGTGCGCCAGATAGCGCCTCATATGCTTAAAGTATCAGTTAACACTAACTTAAAGGTCGATAGAAAGAGTGGAGCATATTAGACGTCCATTAGGATAACAAGTTGCTAAAATAAAAAAAACTTCAGAGAATCAACTAACATCAGACGTTTTTAAAACTTGATAATACCCACAAATCGATTATGTTCTCAGACGACGGATACGCATTATGTGTCACAAATCTAAATAACTGAGGAACCTCGAAGTTTTATGCCACATACACACGGGCAGCATATGCCATGTTGATGATTGATTAAACGCGCCGAATACCTAACAACGATTTGAGAAATCAATGCTCAGAAGGGAAGGCATCACAAAGTAAATACGGTCATAAAAATCAAAAAGGAATTAATGAAGTGTCAAACAACCCTGGTATTCGGAAAAACGTAAAGCAAATTGGAACTAAAGAACACTGTACATAATATACTAAACAAGATCACTATGTGGAACTTGAAGTCTCACCAATCAAATGATACTTCTTTAATGGTACAAGCCAACAATAAAACCAGACCCAACTCACTCGGACGGTAAAACCACACAATGAACAAAATGAGTCTACGCGCGAATACAGAACCAAATGCAAAACCGTCAAGGTCACATATCGGCATGATAAAACGACAGAACAAATTCTTAGCACCATAAATCATTAATGTTCGTTAAGTCACGTTATCTTGAAGCTATAAGACCCGAATTTAGTGAAGGACTGGTTTTAAAGTTGATTCAGTTCGATTTAGAGTGAATCTGGGGAATGGTCTATAACGAGTGGGCAGGTATATCACAGGTTGATATGTTGATACAGAACGCCATACAGTTCATTTTCCTGTCCCCTTAGAGATTAAAAAACATATTTTAAACAGGTTTTTCCAATACAATTCATAGCTTGTTCCACGAAATCTCATTGTTTGCTAGTTTTTCCTGTAAAACGTTTGGCTGCGTTACATCACAAACCCGAAGTTAATCTGCTCTCCGTTGAATACATTAATAATAGACCAAACGATTTTGCAGCAGTGACTTGTGGGCAAGTGTCACGTTTCTGGAATTCTTTGAAATGTTTAGTTAATTCTATGTTGCATCTATATGAAACCAAAACATCCACCAACTGAGGCAGTCTAGCCAGAAAGAAGAGAATCATATTTTGTAAACCTAAACTCTACATTGAAAACGTTCCCCATAACCGTAGCAGCTGATGTCACGCAATGTTTGACTTGTGCAAATATGAAACAGATCACTCAAATTACATACTATATACGCTTACAAAAGTCACTCTAAACGCACAAAACATCGCATTTCCCCACAAACTGTGATTACGCCTGCTGTATTCAGTGTATATTGATGTAAACTTAACAATCAGGATATACGTATTTGTCATGTGACCGCGTTTATCTACATGATCCAAATACGCTACATGTGCAGGTACTTCCCATTACAAAGAGTTTCCGCGTCTAACTCTTATCAACAGAAGACACCCATCTCGAATTCCTACTTTTGGCCCACAATACTCTGTTTTAAAACGGCAAAACGTCCTACTAACCTCTGATACAGAAATATGTTAAACCAAAGTCAGCTATAGCCATTAAATATCAGGCGATTGCAGCCTCCGGTGTCAGACTTTGCCTCATATGCATACAGAAAGCGAAGTTTAATGATATATGTTCCAATGTATTTATAAAGATGTACCTACAAACGTTAACAAAAACTTATGAAACTGGGTAACAGCATTATTCTAATTCATTAAAAGTAGATATTATTCCAAAATATGAATCATCATTTCGCGCAGTTTCATGCTCAAGGGAAGAGTATCAACTAGACTCCACCGGTGGTTAACAGTCAGATGCAGAAATTGTTTAACTCATGATCGTGTGGTGCGTATAATTTCGAATTTAGCGTTCTGAAATCCGGAAAACTATAATTTGAAAAGATCAGTGATGAATACCTTGAACTGTGGTTGTATGTATGCAGTTTGGCCAAAGTGGATTAAAGTAACCCCAAACCCATCTATTACCTAGACAAACTGATAGACTTGGTGTAAGTTTAACTTGATAAGATAGATTAATCACCTTCAAAGCTACCTCAAGTACATGGATGCCTAAATTATAATAATTACAAGCCCCACAAATGAATCAATGTTAAGTTGTTCGATTTGGGCGTAAATTCTAAAATGCGCTCGTAACTAACAAATCGAACAGCTAAATCATTTCAACCATATAAATGCTTGTGTATTTTTCAGACGCTTGACTCCGGTTGCTTTTTTCCATTGTTTTTCATTACTTGGCTTCGCAATACATTTTGTTGTTTTTTAGGTTATTGACCACAACTGTCGTTAAAATTTATATTTTTCTTTGCGTTATCTCAACAACAGATATGTAATAACTTTGCACGTTAACGTATCAAACACCACTAATGCACACAAAATGATAGATATATATTTGTACGTGTGCACAATGCATCTCAGAAAAGAGTATCGTGAACTAATGGTGCTTTTGTACTTGACAACTGCCTGATCTTGAATTTCAAACACAATGCGTTCGTTTGTGCTCATTTAGTTCTTCTTGGCCCAAATTACACTGTTTCGGGAATTCTTAGATCACATAATGATTCAAATACGTTGCGATCGAGTCTGTAATGAAACCGTTGGACATACGTTCAAATTCATTGAGGGGTTGTAGAGCAGATCACGAAGAGCACATGTTCGAAAAATGATTGTTCTGTGGAAGATTTCCATCATGTAATTTACGTAGGTTCCGAGATGCTAAGTGTGTAGTGGCATTGGACAATAGCCACACAATCCACAAAGCTGTGAACACGAGACTACTCAGAAAATAAATATTCAATATTTAACACCGAGAAATACCTAACAATGAAGAAGGCGCGAACAAGGAATGGAATGGACTGGGGTTGATCGAGTGGCATGGCTCGGCCATGCAGGCGTGGTCTCTATTCATATTAAATATATTGTTCTTTCTCTAGCCTAAGCTCGTTCTTCATTATGTATTGGTAGTTGTTACGATACGGTGAGTTGGTGTAGTCGATGGTGTGACTTCCACGTAAGATCTTATAGATTAGGCAGTTATATCATGACGAATCTACAAATTTAGGATTAGGTCTATTATTAGAGCAGTACTAATATCGTAGTAGACCATAGTTCTACATTGGTAAGCCCGACTAGAAAAACGCAACCTATTATTATTAATCCTTATTTCCACTTCAACTTTCTCGATCGATTTTATATTTATGTTAACCCTGTATTCCAATAGTCCTCTGATTAATGCTCACATGCATTATCGTAATGTTATATTGATTAGTCCTCATGACAAACTAGCTCAATCGATAATAAAAACTGGTCGTCTATATTAACTAATTAGCTTTGATGATTTGTTAACATGCTGTAATAGCATTTACATGCTTCAGCGACATAGTCTTGTTTAAACATCAAGCTCCAGCAAATATGACCTGTAAATAGCGTAAATATACATTGACTAACAATGCGATCAAGGACTAAATAGTTATCTGGATCTAATTCTCAGTGTTCCTTCACTTAACACCTCATCCTGTTTTAAACGATGCACTATCCTGTAATATCTTTTCTTCCGACCACTGCCTGCCTAATTTCATATTCTCGAGTTCCATTGCCAAACAACGAGGATGACACTTCTCGAAAAACATACGGTGAGTTTCAGCTATAAGTTTTCTGCAATCATAAGTTCATTTTAGATGGTTCGTTCAATGACAACCATACAATTATCTGGATTCATTCAGTTGTTCTGATCAGAGCGAGTCCCAAAGACCTCAACAGCATCAAGCACCCTGGAAGTGATTGCCATACTGTATGTTTTATTCTGGATGCTTTTGGATCATTACTACTCCTCACGAATGGCGTTATATATGTCGTCCACTGAATAATCTAATTTTCAAAAATAATCCAGGCGAGTTCAACTATTTTACTGGATGATTTTTTTTGTACTTAACATGTATATGTTTTTCAGTTGCTTTTGCCACATATTTGTAAGTGTCCCTAGGCTAAATGTCGTAACTTCTCATGGAATGTTTATAACGCGTTACATTCCTGCCTCAAGTTTCATAAGCAGTCTTGACTTTAAAATTACTTTTCCTGGTCATGTTCATTATTTTTAAATTTTTATATACGTCAACAACCTGCATGTTAACATGGCCCGTACATACATTACACTATATCCATATCTTTTGAATTTAGAAATCATCTGAATCGCGTATAACATTTATCAATAAACCCATCATAGTCGTTGTTGCTAATCTTATTTGGGTTTATGGATTGGTTTATCATATTAGCAGCCTAAAATGCGAACATAGTTTAGATAATAAGATTAAAAATTTAGGTACTATCAACTGCACTAGTGAAATAACTAAATCCCCAAGTAGCTGTTGGCTAAACAAACGTTTAAAATCAAAACTCTGTAGCCTACTAGAATTAACACTAAACGAATGCTTCTGAATTGAAATTTATAATTAAATTAGGCGTCTCGGATTCTTTAACGTTATAAATATCTGATGATTTTGAATCACCTAAAGCAACAATACCTATTTTTCCACTGACTAATCCTTAATCAACACTATAACTAGTTAAATTTAATAGTTTCAGGATATCGTCATAAAGCATTGTCATGACAATCACGTAATATGATTGATAAAATTAATGAGACTATTAACAAAATCGGTCAGCAAATTGACTTATAATTATCACTAGTGTTGTTTTTCTTTTATCTTCATTCACTACGGATGATTACAGTATGTTTATCAGTTGCTCATTCAGTAAATATCTCAAAACCTTGTCAGTCTAATTGATGGTTTAACGACACAATCATGCATGCAAATAATCAGTATAAGCAGTCGAGCAAATCTCCTGCAAACTGAAAACATCAATGTCGAATTTACCCCAACACTGACTAAGGTTCAAGCCATTATCATAGACATGAGTTGGGAGTGTACTCCCCCTGGTTACAACTTATGTACTCCCTGATAATCACATGAGCATCACTCACTATTAATCATCTTGTAAAAACTTATTTAGCTAAATACATCTTGCAGCACCACATCACTTCGTAATATGACCCATAGGCTTAACTGATTTTAATAACTTATAACCACTATATCTCAATTAAATCGTATTCCGCCTTATAATAAACTGCATACTTGCAACTAACTTGTATGCCCAAGCAGCCGGCAAGTATAAATATAAATAAATAGTCTATTGCAGATCAGAACATTGAGTCCAGAGCATGTCTCTTACGAATACACTCATGTTTAGCGATTTGTTCCTAGCTATCTGTCCAAAATTCATATAATTATCACTCACGTATTTAAATTTTATTTTGATAACCATTCATGTGTATTAGTAGTATTACTAAATTCTATCACGGTCAAGTAAAAATGAGGTTGAGAAAATCTCCCCGTAACTAAATAAACCGTATCAAACTAACTGGAACACTAGTTGGAATTCTTCGCCACGGTATACTTTTGTTCCTTCAGTTAGCCTACTAATACAGATGCAATTGGAATTCAACTCTTATGGACAACTTACCGGCATAATCGTTATTTGATTTCATAATTTAAACCAAAAC